GACTTTTTTTTCTTTTTTTTTTAAGATTTTATTTTAACCACAGGAGCCACCCAGGCACCCTCATAATGGATATTTGTAATTATTTGTTTTCTTTATCACCAGTACTGTTTAAGATTAAGTAAGAATATTGCTGTGGATAAATGTGATTAAATTGAGGTCTTGTGTATGTCCTTTTTTAGCGCATCGGCTATTCATTTAAGAAGGATGAGATTGAGAATTCCATTGTACACCGGGTACAAGGTGTCTTCCGACGAGCTTCAGCAAAATGGAAAGTAAGTGATTAGAACATCTTTAATTATAACAGATGTGAAGATATGTATTGTATATACTGTGATTTCAATATTCAAATGCATTATCTATACTTGGGTGGGTCAATATTTAATGTATTATAATATCATTGTTTGAAACCACTTACCAAACCATTAAGAAAATTGATCTCATTACCTCACAGTTATTCTTTGAGGATGGTACTGAAAGTGGTAGATTTGATACATAATTAAGGATTAGAAATTTGGGATTTGTTTGGATAAATCTCTCAGTGAAGTACACCAAAGACTTGGAGGTAGAAGATGAATGGTTAGACTAGGGGCAGGACCTCACTCACTTGATATTCTTCAAGTTGGGCTCTGGGACTGGGATATAGTATATAGAGAGTACTTTGGATCTTGGGAATGACAAATTTTGGGTTGCTACCTCTGATTGAGACCATTTAAGAGCTGCATTGAACATATTGGGTAGATAACACATTTTGTCTTGGAGCATGGTAGGTGGGAGTGGTGGCCAGATGGAGTTACCACCTTTAAGAGATCTAGGGCCTTAGTGAGGAAAAGCCTAATAGGCTGAGCAGTGTGTTACCACATTGGCCTTTCTGAAATCTACCTCTGTTTCTTTCTTTTTTTTTTTTTAAAGATTTTATTTATTTATTTGAGAGAGAGAGAATGAGAGATAGAGAGCATGAGAGGGAAGAGGGTCAGAGGGAGAAGCAGACTCCCTGCCGAGCAGAAAGCCTGATGTGGGACTCGATCCCGGGACTCCAGGATCATGACCTGAGCCGAAGGCAGTCGCTTAACCAACTGAGCCACCCAGGCGCCCCTCTACCTCTGTTTCTAAAAAAAAAAAAAAATATTAGTGCAAAGTTGTATTTTATATAAAATTAAAATTCAGGCAGCTCATTACATTGCTTTTCTTGCAGGATGATGTTCAACTTTGGCTATCCTATATAGTCTTTTGTAAGAAATGGGTGAGTATTGGACAGCTGTGTCTTGCTTCCGTATTCCTTCTTTCAGTTAGTCTGCCTTTTACGTCCCACAGTTGGTTACTGAATTCCATGTTTTCTCCAAAGTTGTAGGGTTAGCAAGTGGGAAAAGAACCCAAGAAGGCTGAACTTCAGTATAACTTTTGTATATCTGAATGACTATGTAAATGGTTTCGAAGCCAGAAAATGATCTTTATGTGTGTATTTCTTCAGTAAAGTTGAAAATTTTTAGAATGTTTACATGTAGTGGTTTAGGTAGAAGAAAACCATGAATGTATCTGTATTTATATGTCCCTACAGCAGCAGATCTTGCCCCATTGGATTTTAAGTTGGTAAGGAAACAGTACCAGATCATTTAGAGATTAGTAACAATGATTTTACTGGATAGGAAGTAGAATTGCTTTTTCTCTTTTACAGGCTACCAAAGCTCAACTTAGCAAGGTATTTTCTGCCATGTTGGCCATTCATTCAAACAAACCAGGTATGGTGAGATCCTTGTCGGTTTTTTTCTACCTTTTGTTTTATTTTATTTTTTTAAAGATTTTATTTATTTATTTGACAGAGAGATAGTGAGCAGGAACACAAGCAGAGGGAGTGGGAGAGGGAGTAGCAGGCTTCCCGCTGAGCAGGGAGCCCGATGTGGGGCTCAATCCCAGGACCCTGGGATCACGACTTGAGCCAAAGGCAGACGCCTAACAACTGAGCCACCCAGGCGCCCCGTCTTCTACCTTTTATGTAGACTCAAGCTATTTTGGAATTTACTTTGCTTAATAAACCTAAAAGAAATCATTTTGAGAACTTGAGCATAGATACTTGGCCTTAACACTTTTGGTTTCCAAATAGCTGCCTCTTAGTTCATCCCTGCATATTGTGTACCACTTACTGCGTCAGGTATTGTATTTGTGGGTAAGAAGGACTAAGTTTCTTCTTATTTCTTTGTTTTTAAAAGTATTTTATTTATTATTTTTTTAAAGTACATCTTATTTTATTTTTTTAAAGATTTTATGTACTTATCTGACAGAGAGAGACACAGTGAGAGAAGGAACACAACCAGAGGGAGTGGGAGAGGGAGAAGGAGGCTTCCCGCCGAGCAGGGAGCCCGATGTAGGGCTCAATCCCAGGACCCTGGGATCATGACCTGAGCTGAAGGCAGACGCTTAACGCCTGAGCCACCCAGGCGTCCCTTATTTTTTTTAAAGATTTTATTTATTTATTTGACAGAGACACAGCGAGAGAGGGAACACAAGCAGGGGGAGTCGGAGAGGGAGAAGCAGGCTTCCAGCGGAGCAGGGAGCCCGATGCGGGGCTTGATCCCAGGACCCTGGGATCATGACCTGAGCCGAAGGCAGACACTCAACGACTGAGCCACCCAGGCGCCCCAGTTTTTTGTTATTTTTTTAAAGGAAGCTCTACACCCAGGGCATCTGGATGGTTCCGTCTGTTAGGTGTCTCCCTCTTTTTTTTTTTTTTTTTAAGATTTTATTTATTTGAGAGAAAGAGAGCACATGAGCGGGGGGAGGGTCAGAGGGAGAAGCAGACTCCCTGCTGAGCAGGGAACCTGATGCGGGACTCGATCCCGGGACTCCAGGATTATGACCTGAGCCGAAGGCAGTCGCTTAACCAACTGAGCCACCCAGGCGCCCAAGGTGTCTGACTCTTGATCTCAGCTCAGGATCATGAGTTTGAGCTCCGCGTTGAGTTCCACACTGGGTGAGGAGCCTACTTTAAAAATAAATAAATAAATAAAGTAAAGCGCTACGCCTAACGTGGGGCTTGAACTCACAACCCAGAGATCAAGAGTTGCATGCTCTGTTGACTGAGCCAGCCGGGCACCCCATTAAGTTTCTTTTTAGATATGATCAAATAAACTCATTGGTCCTTTGAGGGACATTCTGTTTGGATGCAGTGACATTTAAGGAGAATTTAAAGGGGAAAACCTAAAAACTTAAAGGGGAAGATGTTAATACAGATTTTGCAAGAGTGACTGGCACAGGGTAGATACTCATGTTTTCTAAGAGAAAGACTTCTCTTGTGAATACTGTGAAATGGTACGTAATTTTATAGTGGAGGTGCTCCAGTGCCTATTCTCAAGTATTAGGCTCAACCAGGTTCACACAGCACAGGCTAAGGTAGGCTACATTTGGCACCAGTTAATTCAGAAGGATACAGCAGGACAGCATTAGGTGTGTATCTTTAGTAGAGTACTCTTAGCAATTGGGAGGCTGGTCTCTGTTTCCCAAGATGACAGTTCAGGTATGAGGGAATGAGATCACACGAATGGGTAGAGGAGCCACTCTGGCTTGGAAGACCTATGGATGGGCATAGCTTCCAGGGATCCTAGAAAGGACTATGCTCAATTTCAGGAGTCACGTGTTCAAGAAAGCCCAGAGCAATGCTCTCCCTCATTCACAACCCTTCTAGTCCAGACGTGGTTACCAACCATAAGTCGTTTTTACCAAAAGCAGTCTTGTGACATAGCTGACTTTTTTTTCTTTTTTTTTTAAGATTTTATTTATTTATTTGACAGAGTGAGACACCTGAGAGAGGGAACACAAGCAGGGAGAGTGGGAGAGGGAGAAGCAGGCTTCCTGCTGAACAGAGAGCCGGATGCGGGGCTCGATCCCAGAACTCTGGGATCATGACCTGAGCTGAAGGCAGACGCTTAATGACAGAGCCACCCAGGCACCCCGACATAGCTGACTTTATTAAGTTTATTAAGTTGGGAAATAGCTCGAGTGTTAAGGTTAATTTCTTGTGTAGAAAGACAAAGGTTTTTGATTTTTAAAGGCTTTATTCCCAACAGGTGTGATAAAAAATTTATTTTAAAATGGAGCCATTAAAAAAAAAATCATGAACTATTTAATAATAAAGCAAGAGAGCGAAATATTTTTATTTCATTGATTCTAAAATGCATAATTTTCCAGCATTTTCACACTTTTAAAATTTGTATGTGACTTATAATGATGTTGATCTCAGATTGGATGAGGCCCATAAGTAAGTAACCACGGATATTATCATTTACATCTTTGCTTCAGACTACTCTAAATAAAGCAGTAATACTTTACAGTTAACCACTAGAAACACTCTCCATCCCCTTTCTCTTTTGGTAAGATTAAAAAAAAATTTTTTAAGTATTAAAATTGGAACATTGATCTTTTTTTGGTCTGACTTGGTCGACTTACTGAAATGAAGTGTGGTGTTTTTCATTTATAGCTTTGTGGATTATGGCAGCCAAATGGGAAATGGAAGATCGCTTGTCTTCAGAAAGTGCAAGACAGCTGTTTCTTCGAGCTCTGCGCTTTCATCCAGAGTGCCCAAAACTTTATCAAGAAGTGAGTTGTGTACCTGTAAGATGAGAGAGTGATGTCTGAGTTTTGGTCCTCTATGGACATACATTCTTTATTAAGCTAAAAAAGACTGATTTATGGAGGCTAGGGATAGGATAAGTAGGGATTGCTGCTGGAGTAAAGGGGTAACAAAGATATTTCTTGGCCAGTAATAGGTGTTGACCATGTGCAACTTCCATCTTGTTAGAGATGAGAACTCTGACCTGCCCATTATGGTTGGGAGGGGTAGGGAACCGGACCCTACATTTTTTAGTTGTGGGGCCAGGGTTCAGCCATCTTTATACTTTTTTTTTTTTTAAGATTTTATTTATTTGTCAGAGAGCGCGCGCGCGCACAAGCCAGGGGGAGGCGGCAGGCAGAGGGAGAGGGAGAAGCAGGCTCCCGCTGAACAAGGAGCCCAATGTGGGGCTTGATCCCAGGACCCTGGGATCATGACCTGAGCCAAAGGCAGATGCTTAATTGACTTTGCCACCCAGGCACTCCGAATCTTTTTTTTTAAAGATTTTACTTATTTATTCATTTTTTTTTTAGATTTTATTTATTTATTTGAGACAGAGAATGAGAGAGAGAGAGAGCACATGAGAGGGGGGAGGGTCAGAGGGAGAAGCAGACTCCCTGCCGAGCAGGGAGCCCGATGCGGGACTCGATCCAGGGACTCCAGGATCATGACCTGAGCCGAAGGCAGTCGCCCAACCAACTGAGCCACCCAGGCGCCCCAAGATTTTACTTATTTTAGAGAGAGCATGCATGTGTGCATGTGAGCGGGAGGAGGGGCAGAGGGAGAGGGGAGAATCTCAGGCTTACTCTGCGCTGAGTGCGGATCCAGATGCAGGCCTTGATCTCATGACCCTGAGATCATGCCCTGAGCAAAGTTCCTTTTTATGCCCTGAGCTGAAACCAAGAGTTGGACGCCCAACCAACTGAGCCACCCAGGTGCCCTACGGTATAAACATTTTGTAAGAACTTGTTATTTTCATATTCTTGTAACATAAAGTTCAAAGTACTAAAAATTCTGGGGAAGTCCAAGTTTACATGTTAATTGTGCGTTAGTTTTTCTTCATAATGTTTGACAGTAAATATTTGCCATTGATTTTTTATTTTGAAATAATTATAGATTCACAGGAAATTATAAAGATAATTTCTCCTGATGGTTGCATTTTATAAAATTACATAATATGAAAATCAGGAAATCAGCATTGGTATGATGTGTCCATATGGTTCTATGTCATTTTTTTACATGTGTAGATTTGTGTAACCACTACCACAATCAAAATACAGAGATGTTCTGCCATCACAAAGATCTCCCTCCTTATAAATGTCTGCTAGTTTCATAACAAAATATACTACTCCCAGACTTCCCCAGATCTGATACTTAATGGGTGTAAAATGACATCTTATGTATTTCTGATAAAAAGAAATTATTTCCAAAGGTTTTTAGTTTATTATTTCCCTTGTGTAGTACTTTAGGATGGAGTTGATGCATGCTGAGAAACTGAGGAAAGAAAAACAAGAATTTGAAAAAGCCAAAATGGATGTGGTAAGATCCGAGTGTGTTGTCCCATGTCAACAATTTGTAGTGTTTCGAGCCTGCTTAGGAGTAAGAGAAAATTTTTGGAAGGTATTTTTGTTCCCAATTTAATGTCTTATTTTGAAACTTTAAGATGAGTCTAGAGTTGATTTAATTAAATGGGCTTATTAATAAAAATGGAATTTTGTGCTTTAAAAATAGACATTTGGAGTAATTGAAGTATCCTCAAGATTATTTATTACTGATGGAATGGTAAATGGTTTTCTTTAATACTTTATAGTTTCATTAAATGACATACTAATAGTTTGAGGGAGGGTTATGAAATATGTGGTTCCTAGCCTTCTTTCTTTTTGGTTTTATACAATTTTTTTAGTGACAATAATTTTAAAGAAAGAAGTTTTAGAATGTTAGAGCTGAAAAAGGAACTTTGCTATCATCTGTTACCGGAGTTTCCAGCTGTGAATTTTTTTATTCAAATAAGAGTTGACACATAAGGATAAACAAGGCGTGTAAATTCTGACCTCTTGGGTCTAAGTAGAGAGTCAGGCCTTAAGCCGTGTGATCTTGCTATCACACTAGGAGCCTGAGAGAACTTTCACTGTAGAAGTTCAGTGGTCTGGTTCAAGCTGCACATTTTACAAGTGAGGGAACTGGCCCAGAGAGAGACGTGATTTGCCAGAGGTCATACATATGGCATGGGTAGTCTAGGACTGTTAATTTTCATCCTGGTGCTTTTTCTAGTTACTGGCTGTATCTGTTAAGTTATGTTTAATATAATACTCTTTAGGGGAATCTTGATTATCCTGAAGAAATCCTTAAGGGCGAGTTGGCACGTATCATCTACAAAAATTCTGTTAGCATAATGAAAGGTACGCATATTTTGAAAATTTATTTATGATGGGAGAGTGAAACATTCTATTTATAATAAGAAAGACCTTTAGCTAATTTGGAAATTTTCTGTTAGAAATTCTGTTAGACTGTGCATAAAAATTCTGTATGAATAGTGTCCTCTTTCTTTAAGAAAAGGTTGATTGCCCCTTAGGATATACTTGAACATTTCAGTAAGTTTATTGAGTACTTTAGTCACGTGGGGAGTTGAAAAGAAACAGGTGATTTAGAACATTTCTTTATATCGGGAAGAAGTTTAGAAGAGCGGAAGTACTTATGAATACTCCCGAATATCAATAACGGTTTTGCTTGTGTAGTGGGTGCTTTGTTTTTCTGTTTTGTCCTATTTCTCAAAACCCCAAAACAAAAGAACTCTAGCACATAAGAAAGTAGTACTTTCTTGTAGAAGAAAGTGATACTTTAGAGTAAAATGATACTTGAGAGTCTTACTCCCCTCCCCCACTTTTAAAATTTTAGGTGCAGAATTTCATGTGTCACTGCTTTCAATTGCACAGCTATTCGACTTTGCCACAGATTTGCAAAAAGAAATTTATGATGAGTAAGTAAAGTCATGGAAAGGTCAATATGTCTATTTCTAATCTTGTGGTAAAAGTTTGAGACTGGGTGTTTAGAAAGGGGGGAGAGAAGTTACCACACTAAATCCTTGGAAGAAAGCAAAGTTTTAGGACTGTTGTATCATAGTAAGTTATATAAAAAAATAGATTGCTGGAAAAGTTGTTTGACACCCTATGGGCTTCCCTTGGGAAATAGTTTGCCTTTATTCAGTAACAAATATCCTACAGCTTATATCAAAATGTATATTCCTGCTTTGCTGGCATGTGTTTTGTCCATAAAATGAGAGTGGTCCTTGTGAATGTTTATAGTTGATTGCTGCAGGTAATTTTATTCTTTAATGTTTGAGCATATGGTTTGAGAATTATTGGCAGCCTACCTTATGGGTACTTCACTCTTACGTAGCACCCCTTACTTTCACAGGAGATAAAATAGAACTTGGATCAGTTTTCTTTTCGGATTTTTCAGGGCTTTGGTAGAGGATTAGGTTGTGCTTTTTCTTTGCCTCTATTATAGAAAATCAGGAGCCTGGATATAATAAAGTTCTCCAGGGCTTAAAGAGAATTGTCTTGTCACACATACCTGTTGATTTGACTTTGAGAGCTAACTTAAAAATTAACATTTGAGAATGATATCTAAAACATTCTGAAACCTAATGTGTCACAACTCTGATCGATTGACAAAATTTATATGGTGAGTGTGAAGCTATCTGGAGAGCCTAGTGGGGAGTTATCCTGTGGTAATGGAATTGTTAAAGGGGTGTTCTGGGTCCGTTTTTAGAGCATAGGGAACTGTCTCTGTTTGATATTCTGAGTTAGTCTCATGTCATAGGGCTGACACCAGTAAACCACTTTGCAGGCTTCAGGCTCTGCACACAGATGACCCTCTTACTTGGGATTACGTGGCACGGCGAGAATTAGCGATGGAGACGCAGCCAGCCGGAGAGCAGCCTGCCACGAAACAAGCCAGAGCAGTGGAGGTGGCCCGGCAGGAGGAGAGGTGCTGTGCTGTGTATGAAGAGGCAGTAAAGACTCTCCCCACAGGTGAACTTCGCCAGGCCTTGGTGTGGTATACAAGTGGTAGTATTCACAAACATGAAACCGAAGCTTCTGTTTCTGTTTCCAAAATCAGTTTTCAGGAATCTTTCTGTGGTAGTTGACCATGTGCCTGGCTTTCCAACTTCTTGTTTGGTAGTGGAAGATGGAGCTTTTATGACCTTCCTCAACAGTAGTGATGTTTATGTTCATCTGTTTGGGGGAGATGATACTTAAGAAATAGTAATTCAGAAGATTGTCCTTCCCTAATTATCTTTTGACACAGATTTACTTTCAAATTTTGTAATATGGGAGTATTAAGGTAGAAGGGATATATAACATGAATGAGGCTTTTACTTTTTTTTTTTTTAAAGATTTTATTTATTTATTTGACAGAGAGAGAGAACACAAGTAGGCAGAGCGGCAGGCGGAGAGAGAGGGAGAAGCAGGCTCCCCGCTGACACGGGGTTCGATCACAGGACCCTGGGATCATGACCTGAGCCGAAGGCAGACACTTAACCAACCGAGCCACCCAGGCGCCCCCGAGGCTTTTACTTTTTATATAAGTGGTTACTCAGTTGCTTTTCCCCCCAGTGTTTGAGATGTTGATTGGCTGTAATGGGAATAACTAGTTTTTTTTCACCAGACTAGTTTAAATTCTTCCGGGGAATCTTCCCCTCACAGAAAAGATATATGATGACTGTTAAACAGACTGGCGATCTGATCAGTGTAATCTCTTGACTTTTCCAGAGACCATGTGGAAGTGTTACATCAACTTCTGCTTGGAAAGGTTCACTAAGAAGACCAGCAGTCAGTTCCTCAGAGAGAGGGTAAGGGACTTAAGTTACATGCTTATAGTGGCTGACTAGAAAGTGACTTTTCTGGAAGAAGAGCAGACACATGGCTCCTTTGGGGCCTGGGACAGCTTCCAAGAACTTCATGCTTAACCTAAGTTCTTTCTCTTTGTGGGTGACCTAGTCATTCTAAAGGTCTGAGTCTGCTGCATCCTTATTAGGGCCACCTGGTTAGGAGGCGCTCTCTTACTGGACTGTGCTTGGTGCCGCTTTTTGGCTGGTCTAATCATAAGTGAAACCACTTCAAGTTCCTTCTCTGTTTTCAGAAATGTGCAAAACTGTACTTGTTCCTGTCAGAGGCCAAAGACCCCTAGTGGGATGTTTATAACAAACTGAAGGATTTTTTCTGATTTCAGAGGCTGGAAAGAACCATGATGGCATTCAGGAAGGCACATGAACTCAGACTTCTACCAGAATTCCAGTACAAGCAGTGGGTAAGGACACATTCACTGCCAATAACACGTACTTAATTCCATTTGGTTCCTGCTGGTGTCATGTGTTTTAATGCATAGTTATATGACTAAGCCCCTTTGGAAGTTTAGAATGGAAGACGTAGAGACATTACGTTTGGGATCTCAGTATTTGGTGTATGCCAAAAATGAAATGTGTACCAGTAAAGGGAGGAATGTTATATAGTGGAAAACACTCAGAATAAGGAGTCACAAGTTGGATTTTGTGTGTCTCCCCATCCATCTTTTCCTGAACATCCTTTTCCTGAATGTATGCCTGACCCAGATTAACCATTGGTATGGCAACAGTGAAGACAAATTAGCTGTGTTCCTATGTTTCAGAAGCTGACATTTCAGTAAGCTTATTAACCCATCCCTACTCTCTGGGGTGGGTAAGGATTTTTACGGCGACCAGGATAATGTGCTGAAGGAATACGTAGTCTGGATCGGGTTTTGTCGCTTAATAGCTAGGTAACTTGGGCAAGCCACTTAACCTTTCTGAGTTTGTTTACTTGATTTTAAAATAGTGATAGTTACCTTTTTTTTTTTGCCAGCTCACAAAGTTCTTGACGTGAACAAAAATGTTCATACGTTAACATTTAAAAAATACTTTTTACATCCAGCTAGGTCATGCATATGCTGTATACTTGTCTGCTGTATTATACCATGACTGAGATGCCCTTTTCCAATTATGGCATCTATCTGGGAAAAATCCCAGGCTTGGATGAGTTCAGCTGCTCCCATTTGAGCTATTGAATACTGGCAGGACAGTCACCCCTTATAAATTTAGGTGGACTGTGCTTTGAGTATTGCTATGGCAACCCTGCTCTCTTTCTGTCATGACTATTTATTTGGTCCTTCACCACTCTGGCTATTCAGACATCCTGTGCTCCCCAAATCTCTGATGCTGCCCTTCCTAAGCCTACTACCTCATATACCTCATCACTCTGGTGCCCTTGCCTTTAATGAGAGCTCCTCAGTATACTGCCTCTAAACTTAAAATGCTTAGCTGATTCCTACATCCGTCGTTTTTCCAGATTATTCTCCACAGAATGATCTTTAAAAATCGATGATCAGATTATTCTGTGCCTTCCACTGTCCTTTGGATAAAGCTGGTCATTCTCCCTAATACGGTCTTGGCCTCACTTGCCAGTTCTCTAGTATACATTCTACCCCTTCAGCCATGTTGAACTTGGATTTCCTTTTGTTATCCTTATGAGAACATAAGCTGTCTCTTATGCACATGCTTGTTGGGAGAGCCTTCTCTAACTAATGCCTAGTCTTCCTAAAGCCTAGCATAAATGGTGTTTTCTGTTTCATAGCTGCCATAGACCCTGTTGGGTGTTCCTGCTTTGTACTCTTTTAGCATACGATTCTTTTTCTGTCAAGGCGCAAGTATCAGACTGTCTCTACTTCTAGACTAGAGACCCTGGGGCAGTGGAGAATGTACTTGATTTCCTCATTATTAAATCTAGCATGTATAGGGGCGCCTGGGTGGCCCAGATGGTTAAGCGTCTGCCTTCAGCTCAGGTCATGATCCCGGGGTCCTGGGATCGAGCCCCACGTCGGGCTCCTGGCTCAGCGGGGAGCCTGCTTCTCCCTCTCCCTCTGCCTCTCCCCCTTCTCGTGCTCTCTCTCTCTCGCTCTGTATCTCAAATGAATAAATAAAATCTTTAAAAAAAAATGCTTAAAAAAAATCTAGCATATATAGCGAGCAATAAAAGTGCTTGCTGAATGAGCAGACTACATATTGCCATTTATTTGCTCTTCCACAGTTTTTTTATTTTTTTATTTTTTAAAGATTTTATTTATGTGAGAGAGAGAGAATGAGAGATAGAGAGCACGAGAGGGAAGAGGGTCAGAGGGAGAAGCAGACTCCCTGCTGAGCAGGGAGCCCGATGCGGGACTCGATCCCGGGACTCCAGGATCATGATCTGAGCCGAAGGCAGTCGCTTAACCAACTGAGCCACCCAGGCACCCTTCCACAGTTTTTTTAAAATTGAATGGGTTTTAGGTTTTTTCCGTCTTCTGTTACAATAGTGTGGATTTAAGCATTTTAAAACACGTAAGATTTCCTTCTGTGTTGGGTTATATTTGTTAAAATTTCCAAGTTTAAGATATGAACACTTCCATGACTCTTGTTACACAGTGTCAAATTACATTTCAGAAAAATGGTACCAGTTGATTGTGTGCCCAACTCCATTTGAATGAATAAACATGTTTCATTATCGACCTACAAATACTGGCTTTGTCTGATTTTTATATTCTGTTTGGTGGGTGTGGGTTTTATTATAGTGAACTATTTTATTAAAAACTTAACTTTCAATCTAAATTATTTAGGCCCTCTACTTTGTATATCTTACCTATTTTTTGGTAGCCTTTAGGAATAAGAGCAGGCAATGGAAGAGAATTTCAGATCGTTTACTTTGTGCCTGTTTGGCAGCCATTGTCAAAGCTTAAGTGGAGATGATGTTGAAATCACTGCCTTAAATGAGGTCTTTTTTTGTACCCCCCCCGCCCCCATGTAGATGATCTAGCTTTCAGTGGATAATTTTCCAGTGATCCTTTGTCTTACCCAGATTGACTTGTTGCTGCATCAGGACTTCTTAAAGGAAGCTCTGGAGGTAGCAGTAGCCGGGACTGAATCGTTTAGAGACTCTGTGATGATGTGGCAGATGAAGCTGCAGGTGCTGATTGCCTCTAAGAGCCCTGACGTAGCCGGGCTTTTTGAAGAAGCTTTTGTGCATCTGAAAGCCCAGGTCTGTGAGTTGGGTCTTTTGTATTTCATTGTGTTTGGGAAACCTTTTGAGACTGAGCCAAAGCTCATTTGAAGTTGTGCTTGTGTGATGAGGGCTGGCCCCAGAGTACATGTGTGCCTATATTAAGGGTAGGAGTGGAACAATTTCTTTCCATTTACTAGCCTATTTCTAATTTGTTATTTGAAAAATGACTAAATAAGGGGCGCCTGGGTGGCTCAGTCGTCAGGCATCTGCCTTCGGCTCAGGTCATGATCCCAGGGTCCTGGGATCAAGTCCCGTGTCAGGTTCCCTGCTCAGTGGGAAGCCTGCTTTTCCCTCTCCCACATCGCCCTGCTTGTGTTCCCTCTCTTGCTGTCTCTCTCTCTGTCAAAAAATAAATAAAATCTTTAAAAAAAAGAAAGACTAAATTATATGAAATTCTCTATTTTATTTTGATATAAGTGAGAAATATTGAGTATTTTTCTCCCTTGCTTCCAAAGTTGTATTTAAGCGCGAGTTAATATATTTTATTTTTTTAAGTTTTTATTTATTTGAGAGAGAGAGAGCAGGGGGAGGAGCAAAGGGGAAGGGACAAGCAGACTCTGTGCTGAGTGCAGAGCCCAATGCAGGGCTTGATCTCACGACCCTGAGATCATGACCTGAGCCTGAGCCGAAAGCAAGAGTTGGACACTTAACCGACTGAGCGACCCAGGCCCCTCCAAAGCCCGAGTTTTAAAAAAGACATATATACTTTTTTTAAAAGATTTTATTTATTTATTTATTTGTCAGAGAGAGCACAAGCAGGGGGAGAGGGAGAGGGAGAAGCAGACTCCCCGCTGAGCAGGGAGCCCAATGTGGGACTACATCCCAGGATCCCAGGATCATGACCTGAGCCGAAGGCAGACGCTTAACTGACTGAGCTACCCAGGCATCCCTAAACAGACATATATTTCTAAATCTTAAAGCTTTGCAGTCAGTCTTTTTTTAAAGAGATATTTATTTATTTAGAGAGCAGAGGGAGGGGCAAGGGAAGGGAGAGGGAGAATCTCCAGCAGACTCCTTGCTCAGCACGGGCCCGAGTTGGGGCTCGGTCCCATAACCCTGAGCTTATGACCTGAGCCAGAATCAAGAATCTGACACTTAACTGACTGAGTCACCCAGGTGCCTTCCAGAATCTTTTCTTTTTTTTAAGATTTTATTTTTACGTAACCTATGCACTCAGTGTGGGGCTTCAACTCACAACCCCAAGATTAAGAGTTGCACGCTCCTGACTGAGCCAGCCAGGCACCCCCTTTTATATTAGTAGGAAAAAAGTATTCTGGAAGTTAAAGTGGGGAAAAAATCTTAATTCTCATTTGTGTGTGCCTCTGGGGCATGAGTGAAGATCAGATAATTGAGTTTGGATTAAGTAATACTTGTGTCGTGGGTCTTAGACAGCAGAGATGTGACCTGGGTAGCTGTGGGTCTGACCAGCTATGGACACTTCATTGCTTAATTCACAGATAGCTGATGGTAATAACTGTAGGTAGTACTCCAACAGAAGGGTGCTAATTTTGACAGGAGAGTGCTGCTTTGGGGGTGTTGGTCACAAGTCTGTCTGTGCTCTGGCAGGCCATCCCTACTGGGCACTGAGAATTTGGTCATGGTGAAGACAGACTGGGAGTGAATCCATATTTTGTATATTGAGTATCTCAGTAGGAGCCTGTCTTTATAGTGACTAGTTTTCAGAGCATAGAGCTAAGCCATCAATTTCTAACTTTTTTTTTATTCTCACCGTGACCAGGTCTGTCTGCCATTGTGGATTTCTTGGGCAGAGTGGAGTGAAGGTGCCAAAAGCCAAGAAGACACGGAAGCCATTTTTAAGGTCTAGGCCCTACGTTCTGAGTCTTGTGGTGGGTGGGGAATGAACAGATAGGTTCACTAGTTGGCTAGTTTTAGGGTTATTTTTATAGCAGATGTTCCTAAAGCACTGTTAATTGAGCAGCCTGGTATGGTTCTGGGAAAATTTGTTTTGATATTTATAAATATCCTCATGCAGCTTGTGTCTTTTTTTTTTTTTTTTTTTAATTGTAGAAAGCTCTCTTAGCTGTCAGAGGTGCTGACTCAGTCACTCTGAAGGATAAGTACTTGGATTGGGCTTACCGAAGCGGTGGCTACAAAAAGGCCAGAGCTGTGTTTAAAAGGTGCTCACAAACTTTCGTCACTGTTATTCGTCTCCCCACCCTGCGCTCAGCCCCCCATGCCCAGGTTATACGTATGGCAAATAGTATCTGAGGAAGTAATCCAAGAGACTTTTTCAGAAAGTCTTTTGTTGAACAATAAAAGCAGTTCATACCCGTTGGTGGAAAATTAAAAAAAAAAAGAGGGAGATAACTATTAACTCACTGTAATCAGGAAAAAAAAACATGCTTAATGTATCATTTAAAAACTTTGTTTTTGGGGCACCTGGGTGACTCAGTCGGTTAAGCATCTGCCTTCGGCTCGGGTCATGATCCCAGGGTCCTGGGATTGAGCACCGCATCAGGCTTCTTGCTCAGTGGGGGGCCTGCTTCTCCCTCTCCCTCTGCTTCTCCCCCTGCTTGTGCTTTCTCACTCTCTCTCTGTGACAAATAAATAAAATCTTTAAAAAAACAAAAAACCAAAAAAAACCTTTGTTTTTGCATATTTGAGATTATACTATAATTGCATTTTGTATACCGCTTTTGTTGGTGAACATTGCACTGGCTTTTTTCCTGCCAGTAACAATTCTTCATGAACGTCATTCATTAGAAATATCTGTATGGTACATCGCTCTGGGGATGTGCCATAATTTAGATGGTCATAGTAATACTGCTTTGGTGAACATTTCTGCACAAATATTACTTGTTCATACTGGAAATTACTTCCTTAGAATATATTCTTAGAAGTGGAATTATTGGTCTCCTTCAGAAAGACCTTGAGATGCAATAGAGGGAACTTTAAACTGTAAAAGTGGGGAAGAGGAGAACAGGAAGAAAACTGGGTAGGAAAGAGTTTGGTGGGGGTGAAGAGTAAGTCACCGGACACCTAAAGTGTTGAGAGTGACTGGTGGTCAAGTCCAGTCCTTGTGGCCAGGTCTTTATTAAACCATGCGTTGTGGAGACGTGGGCATAGGCATGTAGTTAGAGTCATGGGATGTAAGAGGCTTCCGGTCTCTGTGGATGATAACTGTTTTCTCCTTTTCCGTAGTTTACAGGAAAGCCGTCCATTTTCAGTTGATTTTTTCAGGAAAATAATCCAGTTTGAAAAGGAGCAAGTAAGTGTTCTGTCTATTCATTTCTTGTCTGAGAAAATGAACTGGTGGTTACTCTCCTATACAGCAGCATTTTTGTCATTTAAAAAGTTCTCGTCATATATAGTATAAATTTCCAGTCCCCTCACCTAACCATTTTTTCATAGAGATGGTTAAGGAATGGTAACCAAGCAAAGAAGAGAAAGTCCATGTCTGGAAAATAGAAAACTCAGATGTCACCTCATAGAGGAAACCTTCCCTACCAGGTTGGACGAGGTGCTGCTTCTCTGCTTCTGGAGCACCCTGTTTGTCTTTTGTATTGGGTTATGAGGTAGAGAGTAGGCAGTAACTGTTTCTGGTGTGGTTTTTGTTTGTTTTTGTTTTTTGTAAGATTTGTTTATTTTTTTAAAGATTTTATTTATTTGACAGAGAGAGACACAGTAAGAGAAGGAAAACAAGCAGGGGGAGTGGGAGAGGGAGAAGCAGGCTTCCCTCTGAGTAGGGAGCCCGATGTGGGGCTTGATCCCAGGACCCCGGGATCATGACCCGAGCCGAAGGCAGGCGCCTGACGACTGAGCCACCCAGGCACCCCTTGTTTATTTACTTTAGAGAGAGAGAGAAAGAGAGCGAGTAAGCGTGTGTGCACACGTCGGGGAGAGGGAAAGAAGGAGAGAACCTCCAACCAGATTCCCTGCTGAGCGTAGAGCCCAATGCAGGACTTGATCTCACGACCCGTGAGATCATGACCTGAGCCAAAACCAAGAGTTGGACACTCAACTGACTGAGCCACCTAGGTGACCCATGTTTCTGGTGTTTTTAACTGAACTTGTGAGTGAGGGAAAATACAGGAAGGTCTCCGTTTAAAAGATAATACACGAGGGGCACTTGGGTGGCTCAGTTGGTTGAGTGTCCAACTCATGATTTCAGCTCAGGTTATGATCTCGGGGTTGTGAGATTGAGTTCCGTGCTGGCTGTGGAGCCTGCTTAAGATTCTTTCCCTCTCTCTCCCCCCCTGTGTCTCCTCACCCCTCTCTCAAAAAAGAGAAGAGATAGTGTAAAAAATAATACACGAAAATCCAAAGGTGTCTGTAATCCCATCACAGTAACGCAGCCAACCATATTTATTTTAATTTTTAGTTTACTAAAAATTTTAGTTTTTGTTTACGTGTGTACACACAAGTTTTATTTCTGTCTTATGTGCCATGTGGAGGTTCTCATCTTTTTTTGAGTTAACGTTAATTTATGAATACATTCCTGTGTTTTTCCATGGTTGTCATCTTGAACAGTTGTGGTGTTATTCTTAAACCCACAATTTTAACTAGTCCATTACAATAGGTTGTTTCCCAGATTTTTGATACTGAAAACAAGAGTGCTGTAAACATTTTGTTTAGACAGCATTTTTTTCTTCTTTGGAATTCTTTTTTTGAGATAAGTTTCTGGGACTGGAGAGAATAGTTCTTTTTAATGGTTCTTTATATATTGTAAGATGGTCCTTCAAAAGAAGTGTACTTCTTTATAGTGATAATCAGATATATCAGTATATTTATTTCCTCACACCCTCTCTAAATCTGCAGTTTTCCTTTTTCTCCTTTATTTTGGTATTTTGATTGGTGTTTATTATTTTTACTTGAATTTTGGAAAATTACTAGTGAGGTTGAACTCATTATAGTTTTAATCATTGTGTGGGTCACTTACCTCTTGTCCTTTTCATACAAGAGGTAATATAGCATAATGATTAATAACCAGGCTTTGGACTAATAACATAATAGGTATGTGTCTTGGGCACTTCTCAGCATTGGCATCCTTCTCCATCAAGAAGGTCATAATACGTGTTCCAGGGGTGTGCAGATTACAAGGCCAGGATGGGGTACTACATAGAAAGGACTTTGCACAGTGAACCCTTAACAAAGTGTGATTCTGTTCTTCATGCATGTGTATGATACGGAGTGAAGGTGACTTTCTATAAAATAATACAGCCTTAGGGAAGAGAATTTTGAATGAGGAAATAGACTATACAAGAGTATTTTTAAACTGTAGAGGTTACTCTCCTTTGAAAATGAAACAAAAGAGAATACATTTAAATGGAAATAGAAGTAAAGAATGAACATTTATTGATTGTAAAGTTAGTATCAGCTACTCTGCTAGGTTCATAATTAGCATTTTTTAATTGAATTCTTGTATTTGCTGTAAGATATCATTATCCTTCTTTTATGGGTGAGGAAACTTTTAAGGTCAGAGGGTTTAAAAAACTCGGGGAAGGTTATATAATTAGTATTTATATATGCTTTGCCTTCATATAAAAAGTTTTAAGGTGGACATAGCTAATATTTGCCGGGGCCCAGACACTTTCAAAAGAAAGAAATCCTTAGCCACAGGGAGTAAACCTCCATTTATTTATTTAAATCCTAGTCTTCCCTCAGGGCTTTCAAATGTATTTTCCTGTGAAGCTGCCCATGTTCCCCCAACTGAGAATCAATTAGGCTTTTTTCCATGCTGCCAGAACAGAGTGCTTTTATCACCGTTTGACATTGACTTCACTCTGGTGAGTGCTGCATTTGACTTTTCTCTGGATAAGGTGAGAGCCAGGCTGTGTTCGTCCTAAACCCTGAGCCTTCTCCCCTTCCGATACCTAATAGGTGGTAGCTATTTTAACAGTGTGGTGGAAGGGAATTTGTGACATTATGAATTAGGCTTTTGAGGCAAGATTGTCTGATTATTTTTGTTAGGAATCCTGCAAGATGGCGAACTTAAGAGAATATTATGAGAGGGCTTTGAGAGAGTTTGGATCTATAGATTCTGGTAAGTAAACTTCAGTTATAGACACATCTGTTTGCAGGTGTGGTCTGTAGCCCATCAGTATGGTTAGAACAGTGCTTAACTCTTTTTAGGTCATGGCCCTCTGTGAGAATAAAACTTGCATCTTTGCCCTGCCTTCCCCCTTACTTTGTGCATAAATACTTGCAGACATAATTTGGCTTATAACTTCAAGTTCACAAGGTCAAGAGTTTATGGGTCTTTTAAGAACTCTGGAGTAGAGAACAATTTGCTTGGTTTGGTTCTCTAAAAAAATGTGATATTTGTAAGGGAGAGGTTAATAATGTAGGTCAGAGTAAAAGTGGGAGTGATAGAAAGGGGTAGTGGGATGCTAACTGACATTAGTTGTCATTGGCTGTTGCCACACTGTCCTCATTTTTATAGGACTTGTGAAACATATTTCTGGGTATAGGTATGTCATATAAAATCTGTTTACTTATGAACTTAAAAACAATGTCTAGTAGTTAAACTTAGATTAAAAAAAAATACGTTAGCTTTTACAAAGTTTTAGCAGACCTTCTGGTGAAATGAATGAAAATGGCATTCTTAATAACCCAAGCAAGTTTTATTAGGCATTGGTAACAAAATTAGAGTGAATGCATTGAAGCTCAGTTTCACCTTGAAAGAGACTCAGCAAAATCCTCCCTCTAAAATATTTAGTATTTTTGGATTATGAACTACATAGACTGTCATGATTTAAAGTGAAGTTTTCCACTTTAAAAAAAGTTTGATGCGTCTTAGTGTAAAGAAGCTGAGAGAGGTATTGTTTCACTCAGGGCTCTAGGGAAATGACCACAAGTTAAGTTTCTTAGAAATCTTACACTGAATCAATATTAAATAGTTAAGTTTACATGATAAAGCCTTGTCAATGATCTAATTGTATGTTTACAGTAATTTTTCGTTCCTTTTAAAGGTCTTTGGATGGATTACATCAAAGAAGAATTGAACCACCCACTTGGTAGACCTGAGAACTGCGGACAGATCTATTGGCGAGCCATGAAAATGTTACAGGGAGAGTCAGCAGAGGCTTTTGTAGCTAAACATGTGATGCATCAAGCTGGCCGTTTGTGAGAAGAGGAAAAACAGCCAATTTTGTGAAATAGTGTTATAAGCCCTCTGGCCAGCTTTGTATTGTGAGTTCATCTGCAGTTTGCTAAGAGATGGCAGACAAGATGGCGGTCTGATTTTGGGACGTGCTTTAATTTTGTTAATGCGTTAATCTTTAGTTCCAGAAAAGAGAATTGCTATTTAGTGGCCCAGAGGCTACTTGTTAACGCCGGACTTACTGTAGGTCCTAAATGTTTTCCAAAATATATAGAAATCATAAACTTGAGTTTCTTTTGTTACCCCTGGTCAAGAATGAGTATCTCTAATCGGGACCTAGGGGGCCAGTGAAAGTGGAGGAGAAAGTACAATTCCATTTTTTCTTCTCTTCTTATTAAAAAAGTATACATGGTGTGCATTTGTTGTAGGAAATATGGAGTGAGCAGAATAATGTGGGGAAGAAAATAAAAGCATCCCATAACCTCCTCGTCTGGAGTTAAACTTATTTCCTTTATGAGAATTAGATTTATACTATTAGATCATTTACTCATTCATTCATTAAGTGTTCATTATTAGCAGGAAAGAAGAAAAGCTTTTTGGGATGGAGGTAGGGGTTGGAGGAACAGGGCTAGACATCTTGAGAGAGCTTGTTGATGCCACAGAAGAGAGGATTCTGGGTATTGGGGTCGAAAGTTGACCTTTAAGAGGATGAAGACATTATAAAAGTGTCTTCTATCCCTGGGACTGATCTTTAGAGAAGTGTCTACAGTGGGGAGGCCCAGCAACAAAAGGAGGGCAATGGGTAGGGAGTAGATTAGAGCAGCAGAGAAGACCTTCAGAGGCAAAGGTGGAGGATGGCTTGGAGCACAGAGGACATTCTGGGAGCAGGGGAGGCAACTGTTTGAATTTTACATCCTTTAACTGAACATTGATGTCACTGGGAGAAGCATTCAGTTTAGTTTGACTTAATATTGTTACACTTATGTTATTTTTCCATGCCATTAAATAGCCTTAAAAACATTTAACGAATTTTTAACATTGTATTGTATAGATGAGCCGTGACTTAACTTTGCTAATTCTTGTGGTTGGACCTTGTCATTTCTAATTTTTTTCTTATAAATGCTGTTAATGAAGATTCTCATAAATCTTTGTCACATCCCTGATTATTTATTTAGGAGATTGACATTTGATGGTAGAATTACTGAGTTAAAGGATATAACTATTTTGAAGAATATTGACATGTATTGCCAATCTGCAATGTATGAGAATACTTTGAAGCAATGTAGGAGAATGTCAATACCTTTACCTGTAGTGGGTATTATGTTTTAAATTTTTACCATTTGAATAGGTGAAAAGTGCTATGTCATTGTTTTAATGTGCATTTTTTATATTAATGAAGTTAATGTGCTTTTCCTGGTTCTCTTGTTTTTTAATGTTGACTGTTTTCTAAACTTTTTTCTTACTAATTTGAAAGAATTTTTTAAATATTAATTTTTAGTTTGTCTTTCCTTTATTGCAAATAATTTGCCCCTAGCTTTTTGTTGTGTGTGTGTGTGTGTGTGTGTGTGTGTGTGTGTGTGGTGGTTTTTGATTCCCAGAGGGTATTTTGGCGTGTGTATGACTTCTATTGTTGAAAACTCTTCCTCTTGCTGAAGACAACTCATTTGTTTTTCCCCAAGGAGTTAACTAAATTTTCTACAATGCGGTTTGTGGCCAGTCATTTTTCTATTGATTTGTGGTACTTTTTTTTGTTGTAAGATTTTACTTATTTGAGAGAGAGCGCACATGAGCAGGGAGAGGAGCAAAGGGAGAGAGGGAGAAGCAGACTACCTGCTGAGTGGAGACCCCGGTGGGGGGCTTGATGCCAGGACCCTGGGATCATGACCTGAGCGAAGGCAGATGCTCGGCCAACTGAGCCACCCAGGCGCCCCCCCGCCCCTTTTTGAAAGATTTGTTTATTTTTAGAGGGAGAGGGAGAGAGAATCTCAAGCAGACTCCATGCTGAGTGGGGAGCCCAATGTGAGGCTCAGTCTCAGGACCCTGAGATCATGACCTGCTCCAAAGTCAAGCCCCAGTTGAGTCAGATGCTTAACTGACTGCACCACCCAGGTGTCCCTGTGGTACTACTTACTACATATTAAGTTCCTGTGATATTAGAATCTGTTTTAGGACATTTTTACTTTGAGCTTTTGTACTCTAAATGTTGTTTGCCACTTGTTTTAAAATTTCCTCTCTCATATTTCCATTAAGGAAGTTTAGCATTCTAAATCCTTACATGGCATTTTTGTTTTAGGAAGAAGATACATGTTGCTTTTAAGAGATGAGAGCGAAGAGGGTGGTTGGCTCCTTTTTTTTTTTTTTTTTTAAGATTTATTGGGAGAGAGAGAACATGTGGAGGGAGGGGCGGGGAGAGGCGGATTTCAAGCAGATTCCCTGCTGAGCGCAGAGCCCATTGTGGAGCTCCATGTCACAACCCTGAGATCATGACCTGAGTGGAAATCAGGGTCTGGCACTTAGCTGACTGAGCCACTCAGGTGCCCCCTGCTGGTTGGCTCCTTAAAACACGGCTATGAAGGTGGGTCACCCAGGGGTCATCACAACCCTATATCTGGGGCTCACTCTTGCAGGTTGTGAAGATACATCTAGCTAGTGCACCCAGAGCTTCACTGTTAGATATGGTAGCTTCTAGCCATGTTGGCAGTTTAAATCTATTGAAATTATTTTCTCATTTACACTGACCACATTTCAAGTTCTCAACAGCCACATGTTTATCATACTGGACACTACGATTAATAGAGCTTTTATTTCCACCATTAAAGGTTCTAAGAGTGTTGACCGCAGTCCAGTTAGATTTGGGGAAACCTGACTCATGGGTCAGAACAGAGCACACATTAATTGGTCACATTCTTTTCTCTGCAGGAAAGTCTACATAGAGGAAAGAAAAGGTACTGTGTATCAACTGTTAGGCTAAATTTTTTTATAGTAGGAAAAATTTTTATTTAAAATTTTAAATTTGAGTGTAGTTGACACAATGTGAACATCAGTTTCAGGTGCACAACATAGCCGATTCAACAACTCCCTATGTTATGCTGTGCTCCCCACAAGTGTAGCTCCCATCTGTCACCATACAAGTCCACTGTAATATCATTGACTATATTTCCTATACTGTACCTTTTATCCCTGTGACGTACTCATTCCATGACTGGAAGCCTGTGTCTCCCACTCCCTTTCACCTGTTTTACCTGTCCCCCCCCTTACACTGATTTTTTTCAAATGTCTTTGATGGTTCACATTCGTTGAGGGAGATGAAGGAATAAGCTAATGTCCCAAAAGATTGTCATAAGGTGGCCTCGTGAGCAGGAATCCTAGTTTCTAGGTTTTCTGCTACTTCATTGTTAAAAATGATCCTCACACCCTGAGCAGGTTTCTTATGAAGAGTTTAGGCAGCCTGGGAAAAGGCAAGGAAGGGTGACTAAATTTAGAGTTGGGTTTATCCCCAACTCAGGCCCTGCCCATCTGCTCCTGCCCTCAGGCTATAGAGGGCCAGACTCTGAGCATTAAAAAATAGGAGCCCAGGCCAGACTACTGTGACAGTAGAGAATGTTTAAGTCTAAGTCACTACTGTGACTGTCATATGGGTGTTTGCACATCGTTTTCATCTATCCTGGTTTCTAATCAACTTTAGAAGAACTATCATTAACTTAGGGTGGAGAATCCCTGGGCACATCCATTTGTGGGTGGGTTATAGTCCCATTCCAGCCTGAATTCTGCAAACACCTGTGACGAGTGAGTGAAACGTGGTTGGAGCTCAACTGTATTCAAACTTTTGAGAGCTGAGCTTTAGACTATCAGGGAGACTCGGGTAATTGAATATCCTAGCAGGAATTCGAGGTTTGGGGACCGAAGCACATCCAGCGTGGTGGGGCAGGGATATCGGTTGGCACCGCAGACCCAGCTAGTCATCAGCCCTGGGATGGGCACCCGCAGGAGCGCCAAATATCCGATCCCGGGACCCGTAGGTAGGGGGCTTCGGCTGCCGCGCGCGCGCGCGCGCGCGCCCCGCCCCTCCTGCCCCGCGCAGCCCCGCCCCTGGCTTCCTCGTGACCCGTGTCCCGCCCCTCCTCGGCCGGGAGCGCCCCCGGCTGATTGGCCCCTCCGCGGCGTATCCTCCGGCTGGCAGCCAGGCGGGCGCGTCACGTGGCCGAGCAGCGTCCAGGGCGCCGATCCGCGGGCCTCCAGGCATGGACCGTCAGGCCGCCGGAGTCCGGGCGCTGGGGGCCGCCGAGCCGCTTCGGGGTCCGCCGCTGCCGAGCGCGCGGGAGGCGCCCCCCAGCCCGGCGGTGAGCGCGGCCGCCAGGAGCGGCCCGGGGCGGGAAGTTGCGGGGCTTGCGGGCCGGGCCGGGCGGGGCGGGGTTGGGGGCCGCGGGGCCGCGGGAGCGCCGTTTGGGCGCGCGCTCGCGCTGGAAACTGCGGAGCCGCGGCGGCCGAGGGCGTGGGGGCTGGGGGGGACGAGCGGGGGCGGGGCAGCGGGCTGGCAGTCTCGGGGGCACCTCTGCGTACTTGCTGAATGGGAGGTGATGCTGACGACCGAGAGCTGGGGGCCGCTGCCGGGGGCTTGGGCCGGGGCCAGGTGAGGGCGGCGAGGAGCGCGCTGTCCCCGAAGGACCTGTGACCAGGGCTGGGGATGCACGGCTCACCCTGAGCACCACATGATGTCTGATGCGCTCTGTCCTTTTCTGTTTACTGAAACCAAAGGCCCGGCTTGACGCAGGGTTTGAAACTTGTTTTCATTTGCGCGCCAGACAGCTCCTGGTTTTTCAAAGACCGTTATTACAGCCATCACCTGTCCTTGTTTACAGCCAGGCAGTTCTACTGGGTGGTGAGCGCCGTGAGGGTAGGAACCCGCTGTTGAGTGCTGTTAACCCGGCGCCTGGCGTCGTGCCTGCCACGATAGACCCGGCTGTTACTGGGAGGGAGTAGAATGCTTGTTTAAGCATCACAGATAGTACTAAACCCGAGTAAGATAGGAAAAATGCAGTGATAGACTTATAAAAAAATTACTTAGGGGGGCGCCTGGGTGGTTCAGTCGTTAAGCGTCTGTCTTTGGCTCAGGTCATGATCCCGGGGTCCTGGGATTGAGCCCCATATCGGGCTCCCTGCTCGGCGGGGAGCCTGCTTCTCTCTCTCTCCCACTCCCCCTGCTTGTGTTCCCTCTCTCGCTGTGTCTCTCTGTCAAATAAAATCTTTAAAAAAAAAATTACTTTGGAGTGCGGACAGGGTGAGACTGATTCTGCCGGGACATAGCAGGAAGGGATGTGCGCTTCCTCTCCAAGGTGACAGGGTGGTAGTGCCTGCGGAGGTGTGGAGGTGAGGAAGGACAGGGCAGGTGGCTGGGAGCTTGGGTGGCAGGGCCAGGGGAGAGAACTATGTTCAGCAGGTCGAGGCGCCCTGATGGGTTGGTGTGAATGCCATGGCCAATTTTATGTTCCCACGTGGAGGGCTCTTGAAGATTTTTGAGCAGAGTGAGGCTGTTAAGGCTGGGCAGGGTGGGTTAGTGGGAGGGCAGGGAGCTAGGGCAGTGGTCCACGGGAGAGATGCCACCAGCTGACCTGTAGCGGTGACCAAGGGTTGTCACTGACTACAAGAGGTGGAATTTATTCATTAAATCTAGGGATGATTAGGTCGTGAGCTAATTGGGACAGGTGCCAAGTGCACTTCAGGTGTAGGAGCTAAGAAGGCGGATTTAAATACAACAAATATTACATTCCTGCTACGTGCCAGGTGTTTTCATAAGTATCTCGTCATAAGCCCCCTGCAAGGTCAGAATAGTCATCTCCAGTTTCTGGAGAAGGAATCCCAGGCGTGGGGGTTGAAGTGGTCTATCAAGGTCACACTCTGAATGAATGGCAGAGCTGGGATGGAAACCATGTCTTTCTTATGCAGGCTGTGAACATTTCTTGTTCCATTTACAAAGCAGTCTTGGAGGTGATAGGATTTCAGGAACTTTTGAGTGATGGGAGCAGAAAAGCATATAGTTGGCAGTAGGGGAAGACTTCTTTCTCTTCAGAGTCACTTAGGAGCTACAGCTCTGTTGCCCCCTTGTATCAGGAGACAGAATTTGCTAGAATGTGAAGTCACTGAAAAGGTAAAAATGAACATGGCAGTAGCACCTGCAGGAAACAGCTACCAACCCTAGGGCTGAGGGAACGAAGGGATGAGGTGGGAATGATTAAAATTTACAGGCTCAGAGGGGAGGCTTTGCAGAGCTGAAATTCCAACTTCTGAGGAGGAGGTGCTGCCCACAGCTACTGCTGGGGTCTCCGAGCTTGGAGGAGGGGGCGTGAGGGCCTGGGACTCAGACCCCTGACGGGAGGGCCCAGGGAGGAGGTCGGCTCCACCAGTGCTGGCAAACTGTGAACTGGATCCAGCGGCCGCTGTAGGAGGGCGCTGTTGCTGCCGCCGTGGGGGGGCGAAGTGTCACCTGGGGTGAAGTGTCGCCGGGGTGGTGTCTGCAGGAATAGGAAGGAGCGAGGCCCTTCTCCCTCGGGCCTTGCCGCATCTCCTAGGGCAAAGCAGAAGTGGGGGTTACAGAGCCCCAGCCCCACCCCTCACAAAGGTGAGAGTGCGAGATGGCAGCTTAATACCGAGTCCTGGGTAACCTTCTCTTCTTCCTGCAGGCCACCTTTGCCCCCACTGACCACTCCGGGCAGCAGAGAGAGACCGAGAAGGCCATGGATCGGCTAGGCAAGTAGACAGTGGAGAAGACGGGGGTGGATGTGGGGAGGGACTGTCTCTGCGTCTTGTTGACCTCTTTCCAGCCAGTTCTCTTTGCTGCTGAGTTGTGTTTCCTGCCTAGTGCTTCCACGGTGCCCTCGTGTGATAGCGAGGCTGGAGCTTCCTTTAGGGAAGTCCTGACCTTGCGTCCAAACCCTCCCCTTCTGCTGAGAAAGGCAGCTTAGGGCAGCAGCAAGAGTATGGGACTTTGGAGGCAGGCACCATTGTTTTCACTTTCAGCTCTGGCTCAGAGTCCTGGGCTCCAGTTTTGAGGCCTTAGATAAGTCACTTATCCTTTGTTTCTCTTTAAAATGGGGATAATGCTTACCTCAGAGGGTGGTTCTGAGGATTGGGTGGGAGGATCTTGAGCTGTAATAACCACCAGCTACTGGTGCTCTTTAAATCTAAGCAAATTATAATTAAATACAATGAAAACCTCAGTTCCCAATTCGCATTAGCCACATTTCAGGGGCTCAGCAGTCACACGTGGTTCTTGCTAGCTAGCCTGTTGGAGCACAGATGAGAGAATATTACTATCATCACAGAAACTCCCGTTGGATAGTGCTGGTCCGGAAGAAGCACCGTGCCCACACGGACACGTAGGTCCGGTCATAAGAGCTGACACTTGCTGACTAAGGGCCAGGTACAGTTGCAAGTGTTTCTTTTCCCGTTCCCCCCTTTTTAAAACAACTCTCACAACAATCCTATTTTCATATTTACAGATGAGAAAACTGAGGCACAGAGTAAAAATTTAAAAAAAAATGTGGTCAAACACATACAAAATGTACCATTTAACAGTTTTAAAGCGTACAGTTCAGTGGCATTTAGTCACAATGCTGTGTAACCACCATGGCAATTTAGTTCCCAAACACTTTCAGCACCCCACAAGGAAATCCTGTACCTGATAGCCACACCCCCTTCCCCGAGCCCCTGGCGACCACTGATCAGCTTTCTGTATGGCTTTCCCGTGTCAGTGGAATGATATGCCGTGTGGCCTTTTATGTCTGGCTTCTTTCACTCAGCATAATATTTCCAAGATTTGTTCGTGTAGCATAAATCAGTACATTCCTCTTTATGGCCGAATCCTCCCGTCATCTGGATACACTACATCTTGCTTGCTTATTCATTCCGTGGACGGGCATTTGTTTGACTTGTTTCCACCTTCTGGTGATCGCAAACAGTGCTGTCACGGACGTTATTGTACCAGTCTTGTTTAAATACCTGTTTTCGATTCTTTGGGATGTCCGTTTAGGAGGGGAGCCGCTGGGCTGCGTGCTAGTTCTGTGTTTAAGTTCTCGAGGGCGTGGCCGAGCCCATTTCCGCTCAGTCACACAATGACTAATCGGCACAACTGGCATTTGGACCGGGGTAGTCTGGCTCCAGAACCCATGCCCTGAACTACTGCTTTTTCGCTTGTAGCTGCCATTATTATACAGTGTTAGTAGCACGGCTGTGTTCAGGCTAATTCTTTTCCCAGCTCTGACCTGGCTTCCCCATAGCATGGTATGCTGGGAGGTCCGTTATCCTCCCCCAGACTTTCTTTCATTATTTTGAGACCTTTTGAAAATACACCTTCCAGCCCTCTGCAGTATGGGGAGGAGGAGACGTGGTGGCTGTTTGTTGTCACTGGATGGGTTCCGCTCTTCTGCCTGCTTTCCTCCTGCCGTCTCCTTGTGCTGTGCTCCTTAAGGATGAAGAGAGAAATAGAAGAGTACAAATTCAATTCAAGTTTGTATTGTGAAAGCTTGTCATTTTCCAGATGCCCTTTGCCTCAATTACCTGTAAACTACCTAAACATATAAACTGTGCTAGATTTGCTTGATTCCCTGTATGAATTACAAGACCTTGTTTAAGGCAAAACGTTTTACTGAAAAAAAAAAAAAAAGATCAACCCTTCTTCGAGAAAGGTAAACAGAAGAACTTTTTTTTTTTTTTAAGTGCTCAGGTGGCTAAGGAACTCTGTACCCTTGTTTTACTCTTGCTGTCTCAGGAGTCTGCCAGACATTTTCCAAGCACATGAGTAGGCCCTGTGTCGTTTCTAGTGGTTTTAAGACCTTCTTCCTTGTGTTGATTTCTTAGCCAGTGGAGCACAGAGCGTCCCTAATGGTAGTCCTACCCACGGTGAGGGCACTCACTCGGAAGAGGAAGGCTTTGCTATGGATGATGAGGATTCGGATGGGGACCTGAATACCTGGGAGCTGTATACAAAATGTACCATTTAACAGTTTTAAAGCGTACAGTTCAGTGGCATTTAGTCACAATGCTGTGTAACCACCATGGCAATTTAGTTCCCAAAC